AGAGAGCTTTCATGATGGCTAGCACCTTGTGGAGGAGAGGACCTGGGTAACTCGTACCCTTGGCCAAAGGAAGAGGTTTGCCTGTCCGGGTCCTGAGGTTGGGGAGGGCACTTGGCAGTGACCCTGGACTCTGGGTAAGCATTGCCCTGTGAAGGGGGCTGCTGTGGCCCCAGGCAGGCAGCTCATACAGTCCTCTAGCCTGAGGCGGGGTAGCAGGCCTGGGAACCAGCAGGGGAGAGCCCCTTTGTGCTGGGCAGCTCTCCATCCAGGCCCCTGGGGGCTCTGCTCCAGGTGACACAAAGGGCCAAGAACCCCTGGTTTTCATGGCAGAGCCCCACCCCAGAGCTCCTTTGACATCTGTTAATTAAGTGCAATAAATTTTTCTAGAAAATGGCAAAGATGACTTCCAGGTGGATATTGCTATCATATGGTGTTGGGGATGCCAGAACACCACTTGGTTTTATTTTTCTAAGTGCATGTGACAGAGTGTGTGGGGCTCTGCACCCTCCCCTGGGAGCTGGCATTCCAGCGGGCCCCTCGCCCCTTTACCTTTGGTGGGGGAAGGAGGCAAGGAGAAAACCCCTTCTTCCCAGTTGGAGAGGGCAGAAGCAGACTGTAGCCCATTGGCCTTATGTGCGTGTGTGCGTGCGAATGTGTCAGTGCTGGTGGGCCGGAGTGATGTGGCAGGGAGGGAAGCCGGGAATGTATCCTTTTCCAAACAAAATTAAATATTTTGAGATGAGAATTGTGGGGCTGTCTCTTCTGTCCTCCTCCCTTCCCATGTTTCCTCTGGGTGCATTTCAGCCTAGGAACCTGAGGGACGTCCAGGCACCCATGTGTCACCAGCTGGGTACTCTCGGCCAGGTCACCCAACCACGCTGTGCCTCAGTTTCCTCATCTGTCAGATGGGAGTAATTCTGCCTGCTTACCTCACAGTTCATTGAGGAACAACAAATACCAGATAAGAAGCAGTTTGAACAAGTAAAAGTGCCGTACACATACTAGAAAGACAGGGAACTGCTCAGGAAGACTGCTCAGGGAGCAGTGGGCAGCAGCTCGGTAAAAAGGAAAAAAGCATAAAGACTGAGAGTTGGGTCCTGATGGTGGGATTCTGGGGGGTTTCCTTTTCTCCTCTTGCTGAATATTCTGTCTGTGGCCATCAGACCATCACAATTAAAAGGTAAGTTTATAGGGGCATCTGGGTGTCTCAGTTGGTTAAGCGTCCAACTTGTGATCTCAACTCAGGTCATGATCTTAGGGTCAGGGTCACTGAGCACTGTGCTCCGTGCTGGGTGTGGAGT